GTTTGTCCGGTAACATATACAGGGTGGGGCATTAGTGCGTCGGAGCTCGATTGCTCGACATCTATGATAGCTAGAAACCTGATTCAAAAACGAATGTGAATGAGACAACAAGGTCCATAACTAGAAACTATTGCCGGATATACAGGGCGCACCAAAAATAATCTAGAGGGTCGGGATATATTTTTTTAAATGGTATGCCCTGTATATTTGCATATTTTTTTAAGCATTTCTGTTACCTTCATCCACTCCTATGATATCGTTGACTATATCTCGTTCATATCAAAGTTATGAATTTTTTTGTCGAAATAATGTCATCTGCAGATGCCTACCGAAAATATCACTGTTGTCACAATTATAAAATTTGAGAAAAAATAATCTCAATATCATTTATTGAGTGACATTTCTGAAAGTGTTTCAGGCCTTCAAATGATACAGGGTGGCTGAAAATGATTTTTCAATTCGGAACTTTTCAAAGTGATTTTTCACGAGTTTTTCAAACGGAACACCCCATATATTTTTTGACCATTTGATGTAAAATCGAAACACTAACATATTCATCTGAACATCCATATCGATATCAATAACCATTTTTGAATTATTGAACTTTGAAAATTATAGGTTGACGATTTTGATCGATTCAGATTCGTATCTGTCATTAAAACATCAAAAGTCCAATTATTAATTTAGTGAACCAATTTTTTTGAAGAAAGAAACGATACCAGAATCGAAGCAAACAGAAAAAGTTTATATGCTAGTTATTCACAAAGTAAAAAGAGACAAAATTAGCATTTCTCAAGTATCCCATAAATTCATGGCGCATTGAAAGCAAAACCAGAATAATTGAGAAATGAAATTTTTTCCGTCTCTACTTTGTAAATATTCAGCATAATTATGACCTATTGATGTCTGCTTTGGTTCTGACATCGATTCTTTCAATAAAAAATTGGTTTACTAAATTGTTGATGGAACTCTTGATGTTTCAATAACAGATTAGAATGTGTATCGATGAAAATGGCCAACCTACCCTTTTCAAAGTTCAAAAATAAAAAAAAATGGTTGCGAATATCGATATGGATGTTCGAATAAATATGTTCGTGTTTCGATTTTACATCAAATGGTCAAATAATATATGGGGTGTTCCATTTGAAAAACTCGAGAAAAATCACTTCGAAAAGTTCCGAATTGAAAAATCATTTTCAGCCACCCTGTATCATTTGAGAGCCTGAAATATCTTCATAAATGTCACTCATCTTTTCAATAAATGATATTGAGATTATTTTTTCTCAAAGTTTATAATTGTGACAACAGTGATATTTTCGGTAGGCATCTGCAGATGACATTATTTCGACCAAAAAATTCATAACTTTGATACGAAAGAGATATAGTCAACGATATTATAGGAGTGGATGAAGATCACAGGGATGCTTTAAAAAATAAGCAAATATACTGGGCATTCCAATTAAAAAAATTGATCTCGACCCTCTAGATTATTTTCGGTGCGCCCTGTATATGCGACAATAATTTCTGTTATCTCATTCACATTCGTTTTTGAATCAGGTTTCTAGCTATCATAGAACTCGAGCAATCGAGCTCCGACGCACTAATGCCCCACCCTGTATATTTTCAAATGGAGTTTGCAACAGCAGCTAGTAAATATTGCATGGATATTTTCTCACTTCGAATTGGAATATACCAAATTTTGGTAAGCTATTGTTTCATTAAGTTGCTGATGTGATTCAGTAAAATATCTATTTGGTGTTTTGGCATCAGATGAGTGGCAGACAAAGTAGCAGATGACAATGTGGAAAGCAGAGAATTTCCAATTTCCATTGCTTTGGATATTGTTACGTAATAGAAGCAATTATATAATCTTTTATAGAAAATTTCGAATATCTTCAAATGAATTTATCTTCATAAAGGATCGCCCTTGCGGTATTCCCAATTCTCGGAATACTATTTTCATTGGTAATAAAATATTTGTCTCACTACAATTGTAGATTATATTACCCCCGATTCCGGTAAACAGATTCCAGGCCGTCAAGTTTTATTGCAAGACCGTTTCATTCCAATTGGCCATTTCAAATCGATCGTCTAATTTCCTATCGTTAGTTTAGTAGGATAGCTGTTTGCCGATTGCACTGCATACAGAGTGATAAAGATACTATTTTGCTGCGATGGATTATGACTTCAACAGATTGCTCATTATAAATTAATATAAAGAGCTCAAAGATTTGTGTACCACTCGAATGTTCGATGTTTTTTAAAATGCGATAACTTTTTTGCAAATCGGCCGATTTCCAATCAGAATGCAGTGTCCAAAAGGTGATTCCTTTCTGTTTAAGGATCATTGTTCGAAACTTCTCAAAGTTTTTCAGTTATGACATATCAAGTGGTCAAAAAGAGTGTTTCATAAGCGAAAAAGTTTAGGAGCTCCCGTATTCCCCAGGAATTGTTTCATTCTTCTGCAAATCAATTTCCTCAAATCATCTAGTCAATTTCTTGAAATGATTTCAGAATTTTCCACCTTCCTTATATCCTGTGAAATATATTTATGCATTTCTGTGGATTTAAGGGCTGTAAATACGACCGAATTCATTCCTGGTGAAGTTATCCACTTGGCTTTAGGAGCAGCAGGACTTTCGATAACAACAAAAAACAAAATAAGCGTTTGCCTCAGTCCACATCTCGAAACAATTTCGTGATTTTCTAGATAAGTCAATTCCAGTACTTTACATGAAATATTAATGACACGGTAATTTCCAGACATCATTAAGTTGGTATAAAATTGAGAAACCTCTATAGTGCCCGTTTTCTTCATCATACTTGGGGAAAGTGCGAGTGAAAAGGCGACCCTAAGCAAGTGATTACATTTTAATCATTCCAACACTCAATATAACATCCGATTATGAAGCAACTGCCAAGCTCGTGACATAACAACTGTGATTATCCTACAGTTATCAGTCTAATCCTTGCTGGTTTCAATAAATCTGATTTCAATGATTAGACTGATAACTGTATAGGATAATGACAGTTGGCGGTTCTTTCATAATGGGATGTTATATTGAGTGTCGAAATGATTGAAATGTAATCACTTTCTTAGAATCGTCTTTTCATGGGCACTTTTCCCAAGTGATGAAGGAAACGTGCATTACAGAAGTTTCTCAATTTCATACCAACATAGAAATGTCTGGAAATCACCGTTTCTTCAATATTTCATGTGAAGTACTGAATAATGCAAAACTGCCCCCTTGCCTTAAAAAGAAAATCACTAAATTGTTTCGAGATGTTGACTGGGGCAATCCATCTGAATGAAGGATTCATAATTTCACAAGCTCATTATTGTAGCAGCATCAATATGAGCAGGCGATTTCACAAAATCTCACACATTATTCGAAGAACGCTCATTTGTTGTCGATAGTTCTGCTGCTCTTAAGCCAGCTAGATAACTTCACCAGGAATGAATTCGATCGTATTACAGTACAGTGAGCTTTGAATATCGCCTCTACTTCTTTAAATCCACTGAAATGCATAAAAGGGGGTCAAAAATTCCAAATCCATTTCGAGATATTGACTTGAAGATTAGAGAAAGTTGATCTGCACACGGATGAAAAAAATCCTGGGGGATACGGGAACTCCTAAACTTTTTCGCTTATGTAACACTCTTTTTGACCACTCGGTATGTCATAACCGGAGAACTTCGAAAAATGTCGAACAATAAATTCTAAACAAAAAGGGTTCAGCATCTGTTGAACAGTGCATTTCGATTGAAAATCGGTTCATTTGCAAAAAAATATCGCATTTTGAAAAACGTCGAAAATTTGAGTGGGAAGAAAAACATTTGTTATTCATTCTGAATAATTTGACATCAGTATCAGATGTTCATGACATACGAAGTGTATTTCGTAATTTCAGGAAAAACTCATTTATTGGTTGAATATTTGTAGTATAGGCAGTACTCTACTTTGTATGCATTATTGTAAATTCAATTCGTTGATTCAGATGTTTGATCATAAAATATTAATTGTCTTTATCTCGTAATGGTCGAAAGGTTATCAACAATCGGTGTCTAATTACAATATTTATTAATATATTCAAACAAACAAATCATTGCTGAATCATCCATCAGTCAATGACATTAATTTTCTCTCATGTTCTTATCTTGTAAAAACATCCAGAAAGTATACGAATCTTTTGTCTACTTTGGACTAGCCTGTTTGGATTGACTCCATATACTGATTTGTTATTCCAAATTGTACTCTAAACAGTAAGCTCAGTTGATAATAAATACAAAAGTGCGATGGTTGGTACCTCTACCATGTAACTAAACAAATTATCCTTCATCGAAGAGTGAAACCTTTGAAAGATAATCACAGAATCACACTACTCTGTTTCACCACTAACCAAACCGATTTTTTAAACGCTTCCACATATGTTTCACTTACTATGTTAGCGTCTTCAGGAGAAGATTTGAACTGATGATGACAACATTCTTATCAAAACTAGTTCCGCTTGTCATTCAGTGGATTTCCTTTCGTGCGCTCCAAGAGATGAAAAAACTATTCAATTTACTTGGTATACAATATTCGTATTGTACATCAAGTAAGTAGTAGGTATTTTATCTTTCGTATATATACGGACAACGGAGAAGAGCTCTGACTGCATGTAACTTACGAAATATTCACGAGTTGGGAAAGTGGAACAATGAGAAACTTCAAATGATGTTGCGTTGAGAGATCAATATCGTAACAAGTAAATTGAGGATGAATTCGCAATCCATTTCCGACTCGCTGAATTATATTCAGCAGACTCGGAATCTTGGTTACATAAAATAACAACTATATTGGAGCAGAAGTGGATAAAATGATTTACAGCATGTAATCGAATAAAACATTTTTCTTGTGTTTTGTATACATTTACGTCGGTTTGGAAATTACATGAACCCATAAACCATTTGTAGACATGATCTTGAAATTCTTTAAGATGAGTGATAAGCAAAAGATCTAATCCGGATTCGAATAAATTATCTCCTGATGAGTATTGCCAACCTGTGGACGACAGGATTTTTTTCACTCGTGATGCTGGTGTTTTTTTCATGCCTATACTATGGTTTCTAATTCGATGCTTACTTACATTCTTGCCAAGGGTTGAAAGTTCATCGTTGCCCCTGATGAATCTTTCGAATTTGAAGCTATTGGATCTGTACAGTTCATTGTCAGTTCTTTTACTGCAAAATCTCTTCGTGATAGCGCGCGATTTGCAGGATTTACAGTCTTTTACAGAATCCCAATCAATATTAAATAAACCACGCGTTTTTTTGTTCTCCTGACTGGACCGCCTCCTCGATTTACTACGTCGTCTTCGTCTCAGTTTCACGTTTTCCTCGAGGTTCGTCATATTCACCTCGACTTCTGATTGTATTCTTTTAGATAGTCCAACACGTTTTAGCACTCTTTCCATTTCCACGGTAAAATTGTAACTGGTGTAATACGGCCTTTCTTGCGCACTCTAAGCGCGCAGTCAGCTGCTTTCGATTTGGGGTAGATGCAAATTCCACTACCCCAACATACATGTATGAATATACGTTCCACATGCCACATGTACGTGACAGCTTTTTGTGGGTTAAATACCCATATGAAAAGGAAACGTACCTACATGAAGCTTGGATACGGAAATTCCATTCAGAATCTTTTCACAGGAAAATCACTTTCAGCGACACGAAACCCCCATTTCTCCCCTGTGGTCATTTATATAGGTCAGAGTTCATGAAGAAATATTCTCTTTAGCAATGTGTCCTAGTATCCTTTCTTTCAGCCTTGATTATATAGTGAATACTCAAACTCAATGCTTTCAGTCACCACCTGGAAATATTCTAATTTCTGGCGGTCAAATTATTTAAATTTTTGGCGAAGGATCCTCTACAGATTTCAATACATGTACGGTGTGTCCATTTGGTGCGTAATATCTGATAATATCTCGTGGACAATTGAATTTTGTTCAGTTATCTGAGCCACGTATAGGTATTTAAAAAAAATGTTCATTGGTGTATTGGGGGTTGCACGAAGACATGGAAGTTGAGAATGAATTTTTTCAAACTGAAACACCTCTTTCTGCCTATTCTCTAGGCTTCCCAGCAATATAAAAGAAATAGATTCCATTAGGTATTTCTGCGTTTTCAAGTTATCAATCACTCAAAGATTTATTCAACTGAGTAGTATTTTTGAAATATATTATGTGGCTCATTTGAAGTTTTCTCTAAATTTGATACCCAAAAGAATAGAAGTACGTACCAAATGTACTGGTGTATACAGTGTGCCCAAAATACGACCCTCAAGAGGCTATGAGAACTATATATATATACAGGGTGTTAACTATATGGCCAAACTCCAAGGGGTGATAATTTGGGTGATTCTAAGACGAAAAGTTGATATAAACATAGTTCCAAAAATGTTTCGTTTTCAAGATACAGTTTCAATAAAAAATCGTTCTTTTATTTATTACTCAAAATTCTGTTTTCCAATATGAGTGAAACTGGACGATTTTGTTAACAATACAAGAAGCTTCTTTTGGTGTAGATTCGAAATAATGATTCCAAAGGCGTCGCAGTGGGGTTACCTTTTCGATATTTATGGTAAAAAAGGTGCCTACGTCATAGTTTTTCATCAGAGTAAACAATTGAAAAGCTTTTGTAATTTTGAGACTTTTTCAGTCACCAGCCAGACTAAATTTTGCCATCATGAAAGCTCATATACTGGGTAATCATGAAAAACAACAATGAATACTTCCAACTGTATCTTGAAAACGAAGTATTTCATGAAAGCTCATATACTGGGTAATCATGAAAAACAACAATGAATACTTCCAACTGTATCTTGAAAACGAAGTATTTCAGGACCAATGTTCATATGAACTTCTCGTCTTAGAATCACCCGAATAATCGTCCTTTGAAGTTTTTCCACATACTTAAATAACACCCTGTATATATAACTGCGATTGATTGCGAAATATTTTGAGCTTTCTACCTAACCCTTTATATCCCATCAGTAAACACGTTTCATCACTTGGCAGTTTCGCGAAGTCCCAGATTGCAAATTGAAATATGTTTTCATTATTATATATGATAACGCATACTTTGTTCTGAACATGGATAGGTAAGTACTTTGAGACTGTGCTTTGTTAACAAAAAATCTAATATAAGATGTAGGTAAGTATAGTGATATCAATTTCAAAATGTGGTAAATTTCTTGTTGAAAAGATCGTTCGAGAGAAAATCACAATATCAAAATATGGAATAGCGAGGAGTCTCAGAGAATGTGGATAGTTAATAAAAAGATACATTTATTGTTTCAAAAACTTTTTTGTTTGTTTCATTTAGGCTATTTTTCCAAATCTCAATTTGAACAACACAATTAATGAAATGCGCACTTGATGTCGCGGACATTTTGCTGCAAATTAGAGCCGGAGGAGATGTGTTTTGTACATCGCACGCAGCGGCGGATCACCGCATAGGCGCAGTAAGCGCGCTTATTAGAGCCCCGAAGATCTGGGAAGGGGACAAAATGAGCAACAATTGTTTTGTCACTTATTTTTGATTTTACCGAAAAATGTGCTATATTTAATCGGTCGTAGTCTAAATTGATTGACGGTTTCTATTATGATACATCTTAGATAAATCTTCTGCTTCTTATTGTACACCTCTGATGGAGAGGTCCAAAGTTAAACTTGGGAGTTGGAAACTGAAGTATAGGTATTAGGAGAATGCGTGACCTGAACATCTGATCTGAACAAAAAAAATCGCCTGTAGTACATACCACGCTATAGGTACCTTTATTGATCCGCCACTGAATTCGCACGTGGATTTTAATTGCAAAATTACTTCCATAGTCATTATACTTCACATCAGTTACTGCACAGTGTTTGCTGAGATTGAGTTTTGATAGATTGAATAACCCAATACTGATAGGTATATAAAATATTCTATGACATTTTAGGCAGAACGCGTTATCCTCAGTCTGCTGAAGAGGTTTATCCAACTCGTTTTCCTCAGTTCAGCAGTTTTTGGAATATCTTTAATTCTCTCAACCCCGCCTTGTCCACGTCACATCAGATCAGAACAGAGAAAAATGTGTTACGATGACCGCCAAAACTATGGTATTAATAGACTGCATATGAAGAATGCAATATAAGGGCCTATCATCCTTAACCTGATGGCTCTAAGACGATTTTATTTTATTTTCTTTTTTCTCAAATTTCGTGTTCAGGGTGATCTCAGTTTGCTGAGGTCCTTCTCTAAGAAGCGTTAATTTAAGAAATATTCGCCATTTTCTATACAGCTGATGCGGTCGTCGAAACGAAACATTGATTACAAGAAATATATAGCGACCTTTTGATTCTTCATCACTCGATTCTTGCCTTGTTCTTTGGGGCGATAAGTTATCTGCGATATAACAGCTATATATTTTGTGCAATAATATTGCGATATGTTATTTGTGATGGAAAAGTGATGTGTTTTGAAACGGAAAAAAAGTTTTCTCAAATAACATGGTGTGATATGTGTTGTTGTGACTGGTTGGTTCTCTCCATTCAATCGTCCTTTTAGCGGCGCAAACCTTGGTACCTACGAATCTTTATCAAAATGAGATCTATATTACTCGTATTTGTATCAAAAATTATGAAGCGAGATGTAAGCAAACCAAGAATAGTTTGATAGCAAAGATACGAATATTTGCGAATTTAGCTTCACTTTGTTGAGTAACGTTTAATCATGTAATTTTTTGTACCGAACAAGAATCTATATAAATAACAAACTTTTGAAAAATTCTCGCATATGAGTTTGCTTCTGATGTACATCGAAGCGATGCATCATTCGCCATATCGCATTGTTGCCTCATTCGCCATATCGCATTGTTGCCTCATCATGACATCTAGAGTATGACGATGTTCCGGCCTGTATACATCAGGGTTATTGGTAATAATTCGATACATTCCTTCGGAGATGTGATAGGGGAGGTGGTAGGAATATACATTTTGCAAAAGCAAATATTTACGTTTTTCTGTTTATCTGTTTATTTATGCACAAACAAAATTACGACTTTGTATATACAATTCATCTGATCTAAATTATTTCTGGAATTTATTAATTCCAAACATAAGACCATATAGTCGTAGGGTTGATCATGTATTTTAGTTGAAATGTTGGAAAAATGTAGAGCGGATTTTCGGGAAACTAACTTTTAAACCATTAAAGTCTACCTCTTTCGGAGATAAACAGATGAATTCAAATATCTCAAAACTATTGACATTTGCATAATGCATATCAGGGTTCAATTCACTCCTTACCACCTGCCCTATCACATCTCCAAAGGAATGTATCGAATTACCAGTAACCCTTGTATACGAAGTAAGTATATCAGCAGTATAGATGATGAAGATGAGCGGTCCAAGAATAGATCCTTGGGGAACCCCTGACAAGATATCCAAGGATGAAGAATACTCATTATTTATAGAAACTCGTTGTGACCTGCCTAACAAATAATACCATATAAGAAATGCCGCATCATCAAAACCATATAATTGCGCAGTTTAGCACAAATTAGTTCATGATTTATGGTATCGAAGGCTTTCGAAAAATCTAATAGCACAAGCAAGCTAGCCAGACCCTTATCTAATGATTCCATGATATCCGTTCTAACCATTGTCAGTGCCGTACCAGTGCTATACCCCTTTCTGAAACCACACTGCGAATCATGTATCAACTTTTTCATTGTAAAGTATTCAAATATTTGATTATAAATGATTATTTCAAAAATTTTAGACATAGTTGGTAAGATACTGATAATTCTCATATCAGAAAAGCTCGAAGGATCACGTTTTTTGGGAAAAGGCTCACCAACAGCAATCTTCCATATGACTTTTCGAAACAGCAGTTAATTATATGTGTAATATAAACGTCAATAAATGGACTGCAATATTTTATCATATAAGACGATATTTGGTCAACACCTAAATCGAATCGTTCATTTGCTGAATACAATCATGTAAATATCTATTTAGGCAATTGGAGACAATAAAACAATATCAAGTACAACTTAGAAGATTTATTTGAGTAATTTATATTTACATATAACATTGAATTAACTCTAAGAGTAGGTATCAAACAAAAAACTCCATAGTCACCCATCGCTGGGCTCTACCACTTGAAAGTTGTTTCAGATAAATTGTATTGCAGGTGGGCATAATAATAAGATAATAATTGTTGGAAAAAGAGAGCTAAAAATTATGCTACATATTTTCAAGTACCTTAGTATTACTACGGCGTATGATGCATGTTTTCTTGTATGTAACATTTATTATTGAATGACTGGTCTAGTGGCATTTTATGATCAGAAGCGCTCAAGTGAGATGTTTTCAATAGAAAAATCATTATTTACAAATATGTACCTATGTTACAAATTAAACAA